TTGAAAAGCTGTGTGAACTTCGTAGAAAATTTTTACGTTTGGGATAGGCTCAGGAAGAGGAATTTTGAGGTTAAAAAAAGATCTATGCAGGACATTTATATATTTTGGTTACTTAGTTTAGGAACACTTTATCATGTCTTAGCACGTTTGCCCAGAGGATGATCACAATTGGCATATTTAGAGTTGTGAAAGCCCTGGGAAAATATTTTTTCCTGAAGTTTTCTCATTTCTACTTAGGAATTTTTACATGAAGAATTAAAGGTTAATGGTTTAAATAATAATTAGTTTAATTCTAAGTGAATATAGGTATGTACAATAAAATAGCATTTATATATCCTCTGGCATAATTTTTCAAATAAGAATAAAAATAGATAGCTACTTTGGAAATCAAATTCTTTTTCATTAAAAGAGATTTCACAAGTTATTTTATGTTTAATATCCTTCATTTTTAATTTCATTGAAAATCAGATTATATTTTAAATTTTACGATAACATTGAATTAGTTCTTTGTAAGTAAAGAGTTTTACGATGTACTGAGTTTAATTTATGACTTGGGTTTTATAAGTTTAGAAATAGGAGTGTAGTGATATTCCTAAAACTGCAAAGCAGTAGGTTTTCTGATAATGCAGTGAAGAGTCTCTTTTATTTCTCCTCAGTCAAGCCTTTTGGGTTAGAAAACCTGGCAAAAGTTGTGTACTCTAGAGTTGTGTCCCAAGTTTAGGATCTTGTGAAAGTAATTGCTACAAAATGTTTGCATTTTAGATACTTTTTGTAGGCATAGGGTCTAATAATGAACTCAAGTATGGAACTGGCCAACCGTAGGTCATTGTAGCTTGACTTGCTTGGCAACATTTGATAACTAGGAGCTAGTGATACTTTTGTTGTCAGTTGGTGGCAGACAGAAGTTCAAATGGAAACATATTTGTTCTAGTTGTCAGATGGCTAAGTTAGTCTCTTTTTCCTTCTGTGAGCCCTCCCTTAACAGCTTAGCTTGTATCTTTAATAATCACCCTTTGTGTTTTGTCTACTTGAAATCAGGCAACTTAAAATAGTTATCCAGTAACGAAAGACTTGAGCCTTGTGGGCAATGTTGTACTTTCACTTGGTACTAAAGTTTTCTTGGGTTACAGCTTATTGCCGCAGCAAGTGATTGAAGAAGGAGTCCTGTTCCTGCCCCTGAGCTTACAGCTAAGGTACAAGGAGTGGCTTGGGGGTAAGGAATCCTTCCTCACCAGACATGGTTTGTATGTATGAAGACTGCCTGTCAGAAGTTTGACATTCTGCACTAAATTCTTTGGTTATTCGTGACTCACACATTCAGTACAGCTGTTTGTTGCTTTTTAGAATCTACATGTTTCAGATGCAGACTGCTGTTGAATCTTCTCACCTTTAGATTATAAAATCACTTTAAAGAAAACTGAGTGTGAAAGCATTGAGGAAATTCTGAAGTAATGTTTTTCATCTAGTACCTTCACTGTATTTGTAGTTCAGGTAGAATTTGTCTGTTCAAGATGAGGAATACATCTTTTTAGTGGAAGGCAGTTCTAAACCAACAAGAAATGTTACCAACACATGTAGTTAATCTCTTAGGGGAATCAAATTTAAGGAATTAGTCAGATTTAAAGAAATCATTCAAATTTAATGAATGTTTGGTAAGTTCTCAATTTATCTAAAGGAAAAACTACCCTCAGAAGTTCGGAAAAAGACAGTTAATCCAGTCCTGTTATCCTTGTTGTACTTAGAGCAGGAGTTGGCAAACTATATGGTTCACAGGCCAAATCCAACCTGTCACCTGCATTTGTATGGTCTGTGAGCTTAAGAAAGGATTTTACATTTTTAAATAGTTGGGAAAAAATTAAGAGTATTTTATGAAAGTTATATGAAGTTCAAATATCAGAGTCCATAAATGCAGGTGTTTTGGAACATAACCCTATTCATTTGTTTATATTTATTATCTGGTCCTTTACAAAAAACTTGCTGATCCCTTATTTACAGACACATGATTTCCTAGGTTCACCATTTCTCTTAGCTTCTTACAGTGCTGTTTTCTGAGATTTCTGCTTTGATTCCTTCCTTTCCCTCTTCTTTATATACTGTACCTTTGCCTTCATGTAGTTTGACCTTCATATGGTTTGCCTTTTTTTTGGTAACAAGTCAAGAACTCTGGCATTTTGTACTCTTCTGTGCTGGTTATAGCCTCCTGGATGTTCCCTTGGGTCTGCAAACTCAATGTGGTTCAAACTTAATGAGTTGCCTACCCCAAAACTTGTCTAACTTATTTCTGTTTGTAGCTTCTGTTTTCTATCACATGTGGCTGAACCAATCCAACTCTTTGTTCCTTCAGTCTCAATCCCATATAGTCTCTTCTCTGCCCTAGCTGAACTACTTATGTTTCTTGCTTGGATTCTTGCAGTTTCTTAGGTGGTCTCTCTAACATATTGCTGGGGGGAGGATAATCAATGCCTGTAAATATGCTTTTTGGAGTGCAAGAATATAAGTTCTTGAGATACTTTGAAAGAATTAAATTGGGATGCATTTTTAAGGAAATAACACAAATCATTGTCACAAAGCATTGTATAATGATGCCTTTTTGATTACATCATTACCGTCCCATATCAGTTGATTGTGTCAACACCATTGCCAAATTACAGCACATTCAGAAATGTGCTCTTTTTCAAAGATATTCCTAATGAAGTCTGGCATCCAAGGCCACCTGTGATATGACTCCAGTCTTTTTTTTTTTTAACCTCATCTCTCAATTTTTTTCATTCTCCATTTCGTATAGTACTAAGTAAAGAGAATTGCTGTAGATCCCTATAGATACCATTCCCTTTTATTTCCTTCGGTGCCTCTGTCACACTGCTTTTCTTGGAATGCCCTCCTGTATTACCCCATCATCTCCATGAAAACATGCTTCAAGTTCATTTAACTCATGTGGTACATGAAACAAATATTGAGGACCTGCACTGTTATGAGTATAATATTTCCTTTGGACTTGCATGGTGTGTTTCTGTGTCTTATCACATGGACCACTTTCTACTTAGTATTACAGTTAATTGGTGAATGTTTCATATCTCCTTTGGTAGGTTACATGTTCTTGAGGGTCAGGTCTGTTTCATTTCTGTCCTCTGCTCTGCTTTGCACACAAGGTTGATGTTCACTTAGCTGCCTTATGGGGAATCCTCTTCTATCTGTCTAAAACAGTTCTTGAATGTGAGATAGCATGCTGACCTCTTGTGCTAGTAAGTTGCTTTCAAGTCAGTACACTTTGCACTGAGAGAGTTGTATGCTTATCAGAAGTTGTGTTGGTTTCCAAGACTCTTTCATGGCAGGTAATCTTGCTTTTATAATAATTTAAATATGTAAACTGATGAAATGAATGCAAACTTTTTTTTTTTTTTCCTGAAAACCAAGTTGGATTCTTTGGAAAAACTTGATAAAGGTGAGTCACTAAAATAACGGCTATAGAATTAGATATGGCTGTAATACCAAAGTTTTGGAGGAAGAATAACAATAATCCAGGATGATTCTGTATGTAGACTGCTTTACAAGATTTCTTAAAGCTTTCCACTTTAATGAAACTGGAATGGAGATTGTAGATGATGCATTTATAGGTACAGTTTAGATCAAGCAGCAGAAACTTCGGTCAGCAAGGAGCTCCACATCATCAATCCCATTCTCCAAGTGCTTGACCCCATATTAAGACTGGCAAATACGTTTATGTGTTAAATGTAGATAAAATGTTATGTATGTATGATTTTTTGATTTCCTATTTTAGCCTTAATCCCTTTTTTACTTACTACTTTTGTATATGATTGTTTTGGATACAAAGACTTTTGCTTCAATAAGTGCTCCGATTTTTGTTTTCTAAATGAATAGAAGAAATTAAGATCCGAAATGAAGATCCTGGTTGTGTTATGTTGGAATAAACAAAGAACTGACACTGGGACAGCAGAAAGAGCTTTAGAAACAATGAACCTGGTTTTGGTTCCTGGCACCTACACTAGGAGTCTTAACCCTCTTGGATCCTCATTTCTGTCTGTAAGACGGGAGTGATCTCTCAGTTGGAGCATCTTTGAAGATAAAATGGTAACACGACCTTAGAGGTAGTAGGTGTTCAGTATGTCATTAAAGTAGCTTTGTGATCTCAGGCAAGTTATCAAACTTTATTGTGTAGTTTTCCATTATTCCCACTTTCTTAATGAAGAGACTCCAAAAGATAAATTTTGTTATGTGTAAGCTACCAGAATCCAAGACTGAATCAAACCTGGAATATAGTACTTGCTCAGAAATTTTTGTATTAGTGAACATGAGCCCTATTGCATAATAGCTTGCATGCTAATTAAGCAAGGTCTAGCTTCTGCATCCGTGAAACGTAGAATGTGTGTGTGCGGGAGCCCATGAATGAACTCCACTGCTTGGAACGGCCTCTCTGTCAGACAGATGTGCAGCGTTTATTCAGTAGCTACTGGCCTTTCCCAGTCTGAGTGCAGTGGGGTTCCTCATCAACAACTAAACTGTTTGCAAGTGGGCTTTGTGTTCATCTCTCTCATCTGACCTTGTATAACTAGTACTTAGGTTTAATGTGTTTTTTAAGTGAGAAGGTTGGGAAAAGTGAAGAACAGGGAACAATCTAAAGAAAAGAATTACTTTAGATAGGCTAAGTGTCCAGGTGATTTGAGGCAGGTGGATGGAAAACTTAGTATTTTAATCTTCAGTAAATGTTTGATTGCTAATTGCCAATTGCTAAATCTTTAGGGATGACCCTTTTTCAGTAAAATCAATACATGGAGCAGATAGATCATAGCCTAATTGATTTCTGCTGCTACGTGATATCTTCAGTTAGTATTTTACTTTTCATTTTTGATGGAGCTATGTATTATAAAACTACATCTTTCCTTTTAATTGTTGATTTTGAGAGATTTTTTTCCACTCCTATTGGTACAGATATTTTTCTTACAAAGGAATTAAAATACAACAGTATTATTTTATTTTTTAAACATAGCATATGTTGCTGGAATGTATATGTTTCATTAACATTAACATGTTAACATTCATTAACACGCTTGATTGATTTTTAAATAATTGTCTTGTAAGCCAGGGGTACCTGTGATCCAAGTCAAAAATAAGACCATTTACAAGAGAATGCACATATTGTATTGATGTGTACTTAACTGTCAGTTTTTTAAGTCCAACTTTGTTTCAGACTTAATTTGTGACTTTTTTTCTACCTGATTATTTTACTCTGAAGCTGCATAATGAAATATTGGGTGATGTAGGGTATTGGGTGCTGTATGAAGCAGGGTTGAGAAATATGTGTGTGTGTGAGTGTATAATAGTGGATGAAGAAACAAGAATGTGACCAAGAAGATCGAATAGTAATGCTGCTAACTTTGAAATCATTTTCATTGTGTTTGGAGATGGCAATGTGAAGTGTAAATATATTCATGAGTTAATGAAAGCTGTTTAACAAAGTTGCCTAAGAAATGGAAAGGTTATATGTTGAATTCTTTTGACTACGGTGTTTTAAAAACTGGGTAAGTATGAATCAGCCTTATTTTGTCATAGTTTGGAGTGTTGTAATTCAAGACTGAAAGGAGTTAGGTGGGCCCGTGGTAAAATGGTAGAGCTGCTAGGGGTGGGGGCAAGGTAGGGGTGTGTGTGTGTGTGTGTGTGTGTGTGTGTCTGTACGTGTGTGTGGGTGCACACATACTTGTGGTGCTGGTGCTTACCACTACAGTCTATTATTGCCATGGGGAGTGTGGGCCAGGTTTTGCCAGCTTGTCCTTTTCTATCCTATTCTTAGCCAGAAATCCAGATTTTACAGGAAGTCTGATTTTTAAGATGTCGCAACTAAAAATATTTAAGCACCATGGACCTAAGGAAATGTATCTGTTGGTCAGGTATGGCTGCCATCTTGTAATTTCTGATTTAGATGATGGGCTTGAGATGTTCTTTAAAGACATCCTTAATTGCCTTTAGAACTCTTTTAGCATTTAGGTTACAAAAATTGCTGCTCACACATTGACAGAAACCATCTAGTTAATTGGTCATTGATTTACAGTAGGACTTATAATTAGTAAATGGCAGACATGTTCATGTCTTAAAAGTAGTATCAGTTTCTAGTTCTGGACTCGTGGATTATGTATGCCCATTTAGGCTAAGTGTACGTACAGACTTCAGAGAGCTGTACAAAGACTGAGGCGTTGACTTAGTATGAACTGTCAGAAATTGGTATTCATAGTCCACTTTTTCTTTAGATGTCTGGGTGATTGCTTATTTTAAGCATGGTTTACACCCACTGTACTAAAGCCCTACAGGTTTGAAATACTGCTTCCTGGAAAAGACTGCTTTATCTAGAAAATGACATTTTTTTGCTCAGGGTATATCTGTGAAATTCACATTAGCTTATATGACACATGATCCTTGGAATATAGTATTACTATGAAAAAAATTAGGTGCTCTTCTAGTCAGAGGATAGAACAAGAGGATGATACAATATTATAATTTTTGGTCAGGCTTCATGTTTCCATGGAATGGAAGCCAAGTCATTACCTTGACTGACTTGTCCTTTTTGTCTTTATTACTTCCCCACTCTCACTCCAGATACATAACAGCAAAAGTGCAAATAAACTCAGGTCCAGTTTGTTCTTCCCTACCTTTCAAGTCCAGGATACAGTTGATTTGTTCCCATCCCTCTCCCCCATCATTTTTATTATGATTACAGTGCCCTAGTTAAGGGAATCCTTACCCACTTTGGGAACATTTCAGTAGAGGTTGATGTGGATGAGAGCTTAAAAATGGAATTGCAAGTGAAAGTAGGGACTTAAAACCTCGACCTGGAGCTCCCAGTGCTCATAAAGTGGCATTTCCCTGCTTCTGCCCTAGCATCAAGAATTCCTGGTTCTGAATTCCCTGGCAGTCCAGTGGTTAGGACTCCGTGCTTTCACTGCTGAGGGCGAGGGTTCGATCCCTGGTCGGGGAACTAAGTAAGATCCCACAAGCCATGTGGCGTGGCCAAAAAAAAAAAAAAAAATTCCTGGTTTTGTCTTTGTTTAGACTTCAGTGTCTCCTTGACACCTACCTTGCCTATTATAACGCTTTAATTTTGTCAGGTGTAGAAACCCAAGTGCAGCTATAACAGCCAGATTGCTGTGGATATACTTCAGTATGAGAACACATTGACTGTGTGGTGGTCAGGTCATAGCTGAGCTTGGATTTCAGGTGCTGGGAAGGTCCTCGTGTGGGGACCCATGTGTAGTCTTTGCTTGTATTAGAAGGATGGAGGACCAAAGTCCCAGATACCTGTCCTGTTTTCAGTTGCTCAGGTGTCCTGTGTGCAAATTATGAATATAAGACATTGTTCAGTACTGGTTTTGATTCGGATTCAAGGTGAGTTTCTGCTGCTGAATAAAAAGCGAAATTTTGTGGTAAGGTCTTTGCTGGGCGTATGTTGCAGGGAAGGTGTACTTAAGTGTCCTTTTAAAAAAATTGCTTCAACCATTATTAAGTAAATATATGACCCAGTAGTAGGTTGTTTTGATTGTCATTCTTTTGTGCTGGTATACTGCTTGCCTTCTGTTTTGTTGGCAGTTACATGAGAAAGCAGTTTTGTGAAGTATACTACCTTGAAAACCTTAGACACTGAGTTTCCATCAGGGATGATCTTTAGTCCACCAGACTAGTAGCATGATTGGTCTCAGGAATGCCATTCTTATGTATAGACTGAGGGCCAGGATTTTATGCAAATTCAGTTTAAGGAGATTAAAGTGAAGAAAAGAAATTCCTTCTAATATCATTTCCTTTATTAAATATTTTATCTGATTAGGATGAAATAATTGGAAGCTACTTATAATTTCAACATCTCCTACCTTCTGACATCCAAGGAAAGCACTTCTGATCTTACTTTTCTGGATTTTTATACCAGTCTACTAGTTCTGTCTTTGAAATGTAAGAGAAAAATCCAGCTGCGTTTGTAATCTACAAAACCATGCCTCAGTTTTATGTTCACTTCTTAGGTTCAGTTCAGGGCATAATTTCTTCCAGTCCTTCCAAATTCTGTTAAAGTTATCCTGTTCGTGGTCCTATTGTTTACTACTTGAAAATCCTGTATTCCCTAAACCTTGGAGAAGATGAGAAGGTTTTAAAATTTTCTAACCAAAAGTATCTGCCTGAGGAAACATCCCAATTTCAGGATCTTCTATTTTATGACTTGGCCTCCTGGGAGAATTAGAATCTGGTCTACCAGGAAGACTCTTGTGTTTACATTTTCTGGCCTCAGTCTCATGGAAAAATGAGAAACTTCTTGGCCTCTGTTCTTCTAGGAACATAAAATTGGAGCCAAGTAGGATGAGAACAGAAAACATGACGGTAAACCACCAAGTTGACCTGGTTGGATGTCCGAGATCTGTAAATCTTACGGTTTGTAATACCTAATTCTTAGTGGCTGGTTTAAGCAGGGTGTGTGTGTGTGTGTGTGTGTGTTACATATATGTGTGTGTGTGTATTCCCTCCACCCCTTGAATATTCAGCCATCTTAAGGGTTAGATAGTGTGATCTCCATTTTACACATGAAAAAACTGAAGCAGAAAGGTACCCGGGACCACACAGCTCAGTAAGGGGCCAAGTCAGGATCCTAAAGGCAGTCTCAAACTAGAAGCTATACTTTTGATCACTGCATCTGTAGAAAACAGTGTACACTGTACTGTTATTAGAGCTATAAAGTCCCTTTAGACTGAAGGATACCTGTTTTGAGTGCCTAGTAGGTGCCAGCACTACCATGTGTTTGGGGAACAGAGGGTTAAACTGTAGGACAAAGTTCCAGCTTTCATAGGGCTTACATTCTAATGAGGGAGACAAACTAGCAAATGCTGTGAAGAGAAACAGCAGGATAAGGGGACAAATGTGGCCTTATATTTTCGTTATAGTGCTCAGGCAAGGCTGAGACTAAAGTGAGGGAGCGAGCCATGGCCATTAACTGGGGGCAGAAGAGCAGGGATGAGTGCAGAGGTCTTGGAGTGGTTATATTAACATGGCATTCAATTCAGCAGGCTTTTATTTTATAGGTCGTCTTCAAGCTTTCCTGAAAGAATTGACAGCATATGACAGTTTAATGCTTACTTTTTTTCCACAGGACTTTTATCTAGTAATCTATCTTGATGAATTTGGCTTGAGATACATGTTTTTCTCATTTTATAGAAGTGAGAATTAAGATGTGGACTCGAGCATAGGTAAAGGTGACTCGTTTAACGAATCTCCATATTGTACCCATCACCCAGTTTCAGCAGTTATCACCATTTACCACTCTTGCTTTATCTCCACCACCCCTTCCCTTTATTTATTTATTTTTTTTGCTGGAGTATTTTATATTTATCTTAAAATTTTAAACCTTTAGAAGAGTTACCAGTATAAGAACCATTCAGTTAACACCTGTATGCTTTTCACCTAGATCACTAATTTGCCATATTGGCTCTTTTTTTATCATTTGAGAGTTTCAGGCATTGTTGACATGCCTTTCTTAGGAATAAGGACTTTCTTCCTAACCATAGCATGACTATTACACTCAGATTTGACATCAGTACAATACAGTTATAGAATGTTCAATTTGTGTTCTAATTTACCTTGTTATTCCAGTGTTATCCTTTAGTTCTTCAGTCCGTTATTCAGTCAAGGCTCATGTATTTGGTTGTTGTTTAGTCTTTTTGATCTAGAGCAGTTCTCAAGCCTTTGTCATTAAGGACAGTGTCACTTTGAAGAGTCCAGGCCCTTTGGTCGGGAGAATCCCTCAATTTGAATTTGTCTAGCTGCTTTCTCATGATTAGAGATGAGGTTAAACATTGTTGGCAGGAATGTTACATAGGGATGTCAGTTTGTCCCACTGTTGGGGATGTCAAACAATTATTTGGTTTAGGTGATATCCACCAGATTGCTCCATTATAAATGTACCTTTTTTCCTTTAGTAATTATTAAGTGATTTATGGAGTGACAAACTTGATTGAGACTCAATATTCTTTTCTCCAGCAGTCTTCCACTGGATTTAGCATTTATTGATGATTCAGAATCAGTTATTGCTGGAGTACTGCAGCAAATGCAAATGCAGATATAAAATTTCTCCTATAAATATTTATCATGTATCTAAAAGGTAAGGGCTTAAAAAACAAAAACAAAAAACCACAGTGCCTTTATGCTACCTCACTACAATTCCTTAACATGTAATATCCATATTCAGATGCCCTGAATTGTCTCAGTTGCTTCTCTACAGTTGATTTGCTTGAATCTGAATCCAAGCATCCACAGGTTGTATTTACTTGATGTTTTTGCAAGTGTTCCTGGGTATAGCATTCATGTCTGCCTTTAGAGATAAGATTAATTCTTGATGGGTGTAGGTGTTGACAGCTTCATGCATCCATTCTGAAGTTCCCATCAAACTTTCTTTCACCTAAGTGTTCTAGCATGCATTGTAATCATTGCCTAGGGACATTACTTCATTAGGGATTACGAAAGGTGATTCTCAGATTGCATCATTCCTTCTGTATCGATGAGCAGATTTTTTTCTGACCTGTGTTTATTTCCACTTTTTTATGTATACCTTCCTGGGGAGAGTTGTAAAAGGATACATTCTTCATCTTTACAGAGGATGGTTCTGGACTTCCTTAGTAATTCTGTAATATGTCCTCAATTTTCTCATATGTAAATTTGGGGGTAATTATGCCTACCTCTTGGGGATTTTGTGAGGATTAAATGGTCTGGTACATGTAGCTTAAAAATGGCGCCTGGCACTCATGTTGGGGTAAGCGCTAGTTATTAAAGTAACTTTTTCATTTAATTCTTCAAGTGTAATGGAGAGGCAGAGATGGGAGAGGTTCTTCATGTGTTGACATCAGCAGGATGCTTGAATTTGTATAGAGTGAGCTGAGCGAAGTGCTGCTTGCCCACACCAGGCTGTCCTTTTTGACTGCATGGAAACAACCATAATACACGAAGCATATATCACTGCACACTGTGAAATGGATATTGACAATTGAAGAGGTAAAATCTGGAACACATTCTGAAATGGAGTTAGTACAGTGAAGGGAAGTAGGTAGGTAGGGAGGATGAGATGGTGGCTCCAGGTACAGGTTTTTACTATGTCACGGCCCTTTGAGATTTTTATCTGAACAAAGGGCAGCATGCTTGCCTAGTCTGATTTGTCTTGTTATCATTCTACACTCAACTAGAGCTGTTTCAGATTGCAAATCACTTTGGTAGGGGAGGAAATGCTTTACTTCTTCTTGGCCTTTTAATCTGCCTTCTCTTTCTGCTTTAAAAAAATCCCACTGTTGATAATTGTATAGAGTGTTGGAAGTTTAACACTCTTTTTTTTTTTTGCGGTACGCGGGCCTCTCACTGTTGTGGCCTCTCACTGTTGTGGCCTCTCCCGTTGCGGAGCACAGGCTCCGGACGCGCAGGCTCAGCGGCCGTGGCTCACGGGCCTAGCCTCTCCACGGCACGTGGGATCCTCCCGGACTGGGGCACGAACCCATGTCCCCTGCATCAGCAGGTGGACTCTCAACCACTGCGCCACCAGGGAAGCCCAGTTTAACACTCTTGATCAGGTGTTTAGTCATTAATATTTGATTCATTTATTTAAACATTTGAGCACCTGCAGTGTGCAAGATGGTGTTCTAGACACAGACCCACATCAGTGAGCATCAGAGACTAGGGTCTCTACCCTCATGGAATTTACATTTTGGTAATGAGGTGACAGTAAATATGAGGAAGTTGTATAGTATGTTAGAAGGTGTTGAGTCCTGTGGAAAAAAATAAAGCAGGATAAGGAGAGATTGAGATGGTTAGGAAGTTACTTTTAAGCAAAGACAATGAGAGGAGAGCAAGTCTTGTGAAAATCTGGGGGTGCAGAGTGTGTCCTGCATAGGGAACAGCTAGTGTCAAGGTCCCGAGGCATGTTTGGTACATTGTGCATTGTGAGTGAAGAGGTGACTGCTTGCTGTGTTAATGCCCTGTAGTGGGCCAAGGGCCAGAGCTTGGAGACAGGTTAAGAGGCTAGGGCAGTTAACTGGATGAGATGGAATGGTGATTTGGGGCAGGGTGCTAGTGGTTGAGATTCTGAGTGGTCTGATTCTGGATATAGTTTTTGAGAGAAAGCTAACAGATTTTGCTAATGGATTGATTATGAGTGGGTTGAGAGAGAAAGTGAGCAAACCTTCAGGGATGACTGATAATTTTTGGCTTGAGCAATAGTAAGGATGGAGTCGCCATTTTCTGAGGTGAGGAAGATTGAGAATGGAACAGCTTTAAGGGGGTGAGCCAAATTATTCACACTCCCAAGGAAAAGGGTAGGTGGTTACAAACTCTTCATTCAGTAAGGACAGTGGTCCATAGATTTTGCTATGAGAACTCATATCTATAGATCATATAGCCAGTTCTTTTAACCTAATGTCTTAAGGATGTAAGAGTTAGCAGATGAAGGAAGGCTGAGATTCATATAGCCTGTGGTAACAAGGTCAGATGTAGAATAGACTTTGAGACTTAATTTTTTAATTCTAACACTGAGAAAGAGAATGGAGGCAAAAGCCTTGGACTTGGAGAGTGAGAAGCTGGTTGAGCCTTGATCTTCTAGCCGAATTTCCTGCTCTGTGTGTTTTTACTTATATGAGAAGCCTGTGCCTGGGACTACTTTTTGTTTTGAATCTCTTCGTTTTCTTCATACATATATTCATCACAAATGATCATACATAAATACTTCAGTTGGATTTTATCCTGTACACTCTTTGCAGTCACTTTCGTTAACATTTGTTATATATACATCTCAGTTGTTTTCTCTGCAAACTCAAAATTTTTAAACATGGGTGATATTGAATGATCTTTTATTAATATTGTTTGTTTCTATTAATAAATGTCCTTTTCATGAAAGATAGTATTGCATAGTGATTAAGGGAAGAAGCAATTTAAACCTAGATGGGAGTGCAAATCCAGATGTAAACACAAATAACTGTATCCTGGGGTGTTATACTACTTCATTGCTTTCAGTTTTGTGTGTAAAATGATCATAATAATTGTACTTATCCCATAATTGTTGTGAGGATTAAAGTAATGCATACAGCACTCTAGGTACAGTACCTACAAGGTGTTAGGACTTAGTGCCAGGTAGTTATTTTTTATCTCCATTATTTATAACTCATTTATGATAACTAGTCGTTTGCAAGCAAATAGTGCTGAGCCTCTTGAATTCTTCCCATAAAAAGTTAACACAAAATGCTTAGTCATTGGGATTACATGATATGGTATCATAGGCTCTTCTACTCCGTTACTTTACATTTTCATTTCTCTCAAAAAATATAGGTTATTGGAGTTTGCTCCATACACATGTTCTGGTATCATCCACATAAATATTGAAACCAGTGGTAGTTTCAAATTTACCCCCATACCCAAAAGGTCTTCATTGCTGAGACTTCTTTCGAAAAATAAACAAAACCAAAAAGACCCCTGGTGAGCCACACTTCTACATTCTTAGAAGCAAATTAAAATGACTGTATCTTGGGGGATGTGTGTATATGGATGAAATGATAAATCTAGTGATTTATGAACTTTTCTAGGTGAATAAGATTTTATTTGAAGAAATGGCTTACTTACATGGGAAACCATCCCTCCTAACCCCCCACCCCCAATAATTTGCTAAAAGTAGAGCCGTTCTGGTTGGTAGAGGGTTGCTGGAGGGGGGCTTAAATCCCTGTTCACTCTGCCTCACCTCCCACCCCTGTGATGGGACACCCCCATGTCCCATCTAGGAACCCTCAATATAGTTTGAATGCCATTTGAGTTCAATCACGGTTTCATACATTTCTTACATACTTCCAAAAACTTGAATAGCAAGATTGTAGGTATAGTAGAAATGTTTTGCCAAAGAAATTTAAGGGCAAGCTCCTTAAATGTTTTAGGGACTATTATATGATTACATGTCTTCAGCTCCACTTGTAATTTAAAATTGGCTGGAATTCATATCTGTTGTATTAGAAACACTCATTTTCCTTTTGGTGTCACTGATAAACTGCTATCATAGCCAAGCTCTACAATTTTAAAGTTAAGCAAGGGTTGAGGAAGGCCCTGTTATGAGTATGTATATACCAAGCGCCAGTAACCTATTCCACTAGAGGAGTTTGCTTTGCTGGACTTTGAATCAAGATAACAGAAGTGAAAATGTGTCTGAAAAGTCCATAAGTAGAATTTTATATAAATTTAGTGAGTTTTTTTGTATTTAACTTGAATGAAGTGATGTAGATAGGAGCTAATAGTTGAGGTGGTTGGGAGCCTGTTTAAAATATTTGTGAGAGAACTGCATATTTAATACATTATTTTATTTAGTTCTTTTTATCTATAAACTTTTATGAGGCTTTTAAAACACCTGGGGTATCATTGACAGTTTAATTTGAAAGGCGCCGATATCACCACTTCCAGTCTATGCAAGTTGTAGACAGTGAAGTGACGTTTACTGAGCACCTGCCTGTGTCACTGGGCAGCACACTTTCTAGGTGTTACTTATTCCTTATTAAACCATTAGGAGCTGCATGGTGCTTTCATTTTACAGATGAGACAGTTGAGGCTCATAGAGATTGTTACTTGCCTAAGATCCTGCAGTTAGGAAGTGACAGAGCTTGGACCCCCAGCCCTTCAAAGCTCGTCTGCTTGCTTGACCATGCCACCTACACATGTAAGTTTTCAGATGTGTTGGTGTATTCTGTACCCCTTAAATTACTAGTTAGTAAAGGGAATATTTTCCATTGGATCAAAATGAGCAAGACTTGGCAAGCCTGCTGTTGACAGTAGTGGGCTCTGCCTATTCAGATTGTCCTTTTGAATGTTTGGTTTTTAAATCGACCCCAAAGATAAAAAGGTTGTGGTTTGGTCACTTTGAGGGTCACTTTGTTCTACTCTTTGGTAGTTCACTAGCCTCATTGAGTTTATTATGACTTGCAGCCCTGATGGCTTTAAGGTTTGTTTTTCTTGTTCTTTGTTTGGTTTTTATGGCAGATGACTTTCTTTTAAGAGTGACCATACATCCTGGATTTTACAGAATGTCCCAGAATAGTTTCCTAGTTTGGAAGATAAACTATATGTTTTTCCTAGATAATAGAAGAGAGATGTTAGATTTGGTCATAACTAATTATGTTTTGATTATATTACCTGAAGGGGTTTAATAGCTGATTTAAATTTGGTCTTAACCTATTTTACTCTTTCTAGTTCAAACACAGCAAATATTTGTGTACACTTCTTTATTTGGATTAATTCTTTAACTGTAATTTAATTCATCCAAGTAAATGAAATAGTACTTTCATGTACCAAGACTGTATTTTAATTTTGTGCGGAACTATCAACAAAACACTGCTTTCTGAGACAGAAGCCCCCTCCTGTTGGGGAGAGTCTCTCAGTTTCACAACACCCTTGTGTTTGATTGAAATCAGCTAAATTTCTTACACTGGCCATCATAACTAGGGGACCGTTTCTTTATACATTCTACGTCTATTACTCTCATTATAGAAATAATCATTTTCTTAAAAATGCACTACCAAGGAGCCAACCCACATACTTATCATTACTATACCTACTTTTATTACTTGTCCCACCTTTCTCACTTACGGGATTTATCTGAACCGTAAACCAGCTTAGTCCTAGAAATATAAAAACATAAATTAAAAAATTTCATTTTAGCTGGAGAAAAAATTTTTCCATGTATATTCTTTCTAACAATAAAGGAACTCTGGATAGTGTTCGTTATATTTTTGTTGTAGAAATGTTTACTTCTTTAAAAGAGTGAGAAAAAATATGCAAAACTTGTATATTTTATTTGGAACCATTTTTTAAGAATTGCACAGTTTATCTCCTGAAAGCCTGTGACAGTCTCTCTTAATGACTAGAATGTGAAATTTGGCTGCATTGTATTATAGTATTTTATATCTTTCTGTAAACTAATTTGATCTGTTTTTGTTTTTGTTTCCTTTTCCAGTCTTTACTAGGTGCTGGTCTCTGGATGTTTTTTGTTTAAGTTGGAAAAATCTTAAATCTGTCCAGACTGATATGGTATCCAGTGAGATGGGGACTGTTGGCAGTGGCTTTTGAAGGATCTGAGGGGGCAGAAAGAGTTGAGAACTCGGCCTTGAGCTAGTGTTTGGCGTCGTCCTGCTGCCTCTCCTGTGGGCCCAACGTTTTTTCTCTCTAGCTTACCTGCCAGCTGTTCTAGGGAAGTTAGGGGTTAGACCAGTGTAAGCATTCATCAGGGAGCAGAATATGGCTTGGATATCTTACTTGCATCATATTTGACAATGGGAAACAGTGTTGTTTATTTTAGCAGTGCTTCCTGGTGATCGGAGAAGGAAGGGCTTGTTTTGTTTCTGAGCACTCTGTTCTTTGAACAAATAGGCTGCTGCAGCAGCCACTACAACACATACCCGCTTCCACCTTCCCTCCAAACAAAAATAAAAACACTCTGGGTGTTTGTCCCTTCTTGAGGAGACAGATAGTCAAGTATTGCTGTTGAGAAGAGAGACACTTGAAATGGCCGTTCTGACCAGTAAGCTAGGCTTATCTGTAAGTTGGAACAAAATGGCAAGGGTATGGCTTGGATGTTGGATGGCAGTGGGAGCTCTGTTGGAGGCAGGGATCTCCTAATTGCCAACTACAGTTTTCTTTGTAATTGAGGACCTAACCCTTATACTGAAATGTTACAGGTACCCTTTTAAATAATTAATATTTATTAGTCACCTGATTAGATTTTATTAAAAATTTAGGTAATTCTTCCTAAATAATGTCCAAGTATTTTTTTTAATAACTTGAACATTTGGGGGTCAGAGAAAGTAGTCATAGAAATACAAGCAGCTTCAGGTTTTGGCAAGTATGAAGTGATACAAATACCAACTTTTAGTGTATTTTATGTTTTTGTGTGTGGCAGTTTTACTCATGCCAGTCATTATTGACACTGGCTTTTAGGAGGAAAGATTTTAGTCAGTTTTTTTTTGGTGTAATTGTTGTAGTGCTTTATGCTTAAAAAGGCATAAAGATGGGTTTAAGACATTTCTACGTGGCAGCATTATTAATTAGACCTAATAACCTAATTCGGTAGCATGTTTATCTTTAAGCATTATTTCCAGCTCTTTTCCTTACCAGTAAGAGGTTTGTTGTTAAGTGTTTAGTACTGTGGTCTATTTGGAAAAGAGGTGGCTTTTAGTATCATTTATAGGACTTAATGATTTTTAAAGGAAAGTATCTAGATTCATCAAAAAGCATCTGCTTTGTCAAGCATAAAAAAAATTACACTCTGAGGTTGCCTTATCTCAAAAGGAGAAATCACTTTAGGAGTTAACATGTGGAAGGCATTAGGTTAAATAACAAAATGTTTTTCATATTGGTCTTTCAGCTCCAATTATAATAACTTTGAAGATTCAGAATTTGTCTCTTTTTCCAGGAGAAAACCCGTCATATTCATAAACTCAATTTTAGGTAAATTTAAATGTCTGTTTTTCAATGATTTTCTTAATCCAGGACTGAAAAGATCTGATTGACTTATTGAAGACAATTTATTATCTAATGATTTATAGATGTCTGTTTTGTTTAGGTTTGGAAGATATAATAATAATAATAATGACGTTATTTTTCAGTCTTCCAGAAAAATTTTCTATTTCTTCCTCCTCTCCTTGCTCTGTATACCCTTCAACAAGAAAGCATTAAAAGGAAAAATTATTCAGCAAAATCAAACCTTGAGTCAGTGCCTTTATCATCTCAGAGGTTCTCTTGGAAATAATGCCTGATGAAATGGAAGGGAAGGAAATGACTTTCTGTAACATTAAAAAAATCTTTTTTTCAATGTCTTCCTTCTAGCTAGCAGAGTAAAATTTTAGGGTTGTTTAGGTATGTTCCTAGTTTTTTTGTGTGGAACATCTTGTTTCCCCTTAGGGCAGGAGTCATGTCACAATTTCTAGGTTAATGTATGATGACTAGCACAGATGTACATTTGTAGTAGGAATTTAGGAAAATTTTGTAACAGTAGTCTGCACAGACTAAGCAGTACTTGGTATTGTGTTTGGGGGTAGATGATAATATTTAGTAAATACCTGTTCTGTCCAGGACCCTAACTGGCTATAAAATACATTACTCTCAGGATTCACAGTATTTGAAGATTCATTTTGGTGTCCTTATTTATTATGAATAATTAGTGTCATCCCCCCGCCCCCAAAGTGCTTTAAGACCTTGGTGCCTTTCCAATATGAGACTACCACACTAAGACAAGAAAGGGCAGTGTCATGGTGGGCATTTCTTAGTTGCCAGAGAAGTTAAGCCACTTAGTTAGGAGGTCAATTAATTTTTGTTCTTACTTCAAAATGATAAATATTCTCCCTGACTTTAAGTATCAGATGTGATAGTATGGATCGCTCTTTCCTGTGGAACTAAAGTACATATATTTTAAAAGTTTTTTTTTTCTTTTTATAATGTCTTGTTGCGCCGTTTTGCTAGACTGAAAGTTTCCTCATCGCTTGGTGAGCCCCTCCTCTAATTCAATCTTTGTCTTTTGTCTTTGCTGCCTTGCAGGGTTGGTACAGTAGGCTTCACTAGACTTAGCTGCAACTCAGAATTTCTCCTCCAGCACCTGAGTAAATGCTGATGGTCTTGTGGAGAGTGGATTAAGAGTACGAGCTAAGTTCTCAATCCCAATTAAGAAGCGGAGGAAAATTTAAACTGTCTCCTTCAAAGTTTATCACAACCGCCACCATCAAGACAGCAAACCAAAGGACAAAGACTTTGACCTGCTGTGTTGCTCTGTGTAGTCCAGTTCACGTACGGTTTACAGACTTGGCTGGGGTTACTAATGAGTAAATAAAAAGTTGGACACTTCTGTCATTGGACACTTTTATTCACAAAGTTACCAAAATGAGGGCTGTGCTGGAGACAGCAGACATTGCCATAGTGGCCCTGTATTTTATCCTGGTCATGGGCATTGGTTTTTTTGCCATGTGGAAATCTAATAGAAGCACTGTAAGTGGATACTTCCTGGCGGGGCGCTCTATGACCTGGGTAGCAATTGGTGCCTCTCTGTTTGTGAGCAATATTGGGAGTGAGCACTTCATTGGGCTGGCAGGATCTGGAGCTGCAAGTGGATTTGCAGTGGGCGCATGGGAATTCAATGCCTTACTGCTTTTGCAACTTCTGGGATGGGTTTTCATCCCGATTTACATCCGGTCAGGGGTATACACCATGCCTGAATACTTGTCCAAGCGATTTGGTGGCCATAGGATTCAGGTCTATTTTGCAGCGTTGTCTCTGATTCTCTATATCTTCACCAAGCTCTCAGTGGATCTGTATTCGGGTGCCCTCTTTATCCAGGAGTCTTTGGGTTGGAACCTTTATGTGTCTGTCATCCTCCTCATTGGCATGACTGCTTTGCTGACTGTCACCGGAGGCCTTGTTGCAGTGATCTACACAGACACTCTACAGGCTCTGCTCATGATCGTTGGGGCACTCACACTTATGATTATTAGCATGATGGAGATTGGCGGGTTTGAGGAAGTTAAGAGAAGGTACATGTTGGCCTCACCCAATGTCACTTCCATCTTGTTGACATACAACCTTTCCAACACAAATTCTTGTAATGTCCACCCTAAGAAAGATGCACTGAAAATGTTGCGGAATCCAACAGATGAAGATGTTCCTTGGCCTGGATTCATTCTTGGGCAGACCCCAGCTTCGGTGTGGTACTGGTGTGCTGACCAAGTCATCGTGCAGAGGGTCCTAGCGGCTAAAAACATTGCTCATGCCAAAGGCTCTACTCTGATGGCTGGCTTCTTGAAGCTTCTGCCAATGTTTATCATAGTTGTCCCAGGAATGATTTCCAGGATACTGTTTGCTGATGATATAGCTTGCATCAACCCAGAGCACTGCATGCAAGTGTGTGGAAGCAGAGCTGGGTGCTCTAATATTGCGTACCCACGCCTGGTGATGAAGCTGGTTCCTGTGGGCCTCCGGGGCTTAATGATGGCAGTGATGATTGCAGCTCTGATGAGTGACTTGGACTCTATCTTTAACAGTGCCAGTACCATATTCACCCTCGATGTGTACAAACTCATCCGCAAGAGTGCAAGCTCCCGGGAGCTAATGATTGTGGGGAGGATATTTGTGGCTTTTATGGTAGTGATCAGCATTGCGTGGGTGCCCATCATCGTGGAGATGCAAGGAGGCCAGATGTACCTTTACATTCAGGAGGTAGCAGATTACCTGACGCCCCCAGTTGCAGCCCTATTCCTTCTGGCAATTTTCTGGAAGCGCTGCAATGAACAAGGGGCTTTCTATGGTGGAATGGCTGGCTTTGTTCTTGGAGCAGTCCGTTTGACACTGGCCTTTGCCTACCGTGCCCCAGAATGTGACCAACCTGATAACAGGCCAGGCTTCATCAAAGACATCCATTACATGTACGTGGCCACAGCGTTGTTTTGGGTCACAGGACTCATTACTGTAATTGTTAGCCTTCTCACGCCACCTCCTACGAAGGAACAGATTCGTACCACCACCTTTTGGTCTAAGAAGAGCCTGGTGGTAAAGGAGAGCTGCTCCCCAAAAGAAGAGCCGTACAAAATGCAAGAGAAGAGCATCCTGAGATGCAGTGAGAATAGTGAGGCCATCAACCACGTCATTCCCAATGGGAAATCTGAAGATAGCATTAAGGGCCTGCAGCCTGAAGATGTTAATCTGTTGGTGACCTGCAGAGAGGAGGGCAACCCAGTGGCTTCTTTAGGTCATTCAGAGGCAGAAACACCTGTAGATGCTTATTCCAATGGGCAAGCAGCTCTCATGGGTGAGAAAGAGAGAAAGAAGGAAACAGAGGATGGAGGCCGGTACTGGAAGTTCATAGATTGGTTCTGTGGCTTTAAAAGTAAGAGCCTCAGCAAGAGGAGTCTCAGAGACCTGATGGAGGAGGAGGCTGTTTGTTTACAAATGTTGGAAGAAACTCCACAAGTAAAACTAATACTAAATATTGGACTTTTTGCTGTGTGTTCACTTGGAATTTTCATGTTTGTTTATTTCTCCTTATGAACTTTTAAGGATATGATGAGACACTAACTTAAGAAAATACTGGTCTTTGAAAAAAACAAAAAAACAAAACACTTATGTAACTGTTGCATCTCTCAGGCATTGTTTACGCTGTAGGTTTTAGCCAAATTTTACTTAGCAGAAAAATCATCTATTTGCAAGACTTTATTTTCCCAGAGATGGATGAAAGTAAAATTTCAATCTAAATGAAGTAAAACTTGTTTAACAGACTGAATTGTGCAAATGTGGTTTAAAATTTTCCATACCAAAGTAAGGAGAGACCAATTATTCTCATAGAGCACTTAGAGCAGAATATATGCTAAGATATCACGAATAAGATATACTGTCTGCACTGCCAAATCTTGGTAGGCCTTCTTACCCTGAAGTAGAAGACTTGCTCATTTTAAAGTTTTTTCTCTCTCTGTAATCCCTACTTCCATTTTAAAAAACTGAATTTGTAGACATTGTATAATCAATTATGTACTGAAAATCGCTAACATGTGCTTGTTTCAGGGCAAGTTCGTTTGCCAGGTTCGTTTTGTTAGCATGAGCCTATGGATTCTGAATGCTGAAAGAAAGGAAGAAGAATGTTTTCCTGTAGCTATTCTTGTACCACCAGTATATGGAATGTTGGGAAAAAGTTTGTTCCAGTTGCTTTTTTCTTTTTTTCCTACTTTGAAGTTTAAGTGAACCATACTCAAACGACCACCAAGTCTGTCTTTATAAAGTTGTATGTCATGATTGTATTGTACATGATTATGGGGGAGAAAATGAAGTAAACATTGCTGATGATCCCCAGATTTACTGACCAAATTAAGATCATTTATATAGTTTGGAAATTAGCATCCCCTAAGCAGCATTTGATCGACTAAGCTGAACAGGTGATAGTCTAATACTAAATATTGGACTTTTTGCCGTGTGATCACTTGGAATTTTCATGTTTTCATACTTCATTAATTCTCTAGCTTTGTTCTTGTCATTTGGTAATATTCTTTATTAGCCAGGTACCTTCCCAAGTGGATCCATTTGGAAGATATGTCCGGAAATTTGAAGAAGAATTAACTCTGCCTTTGTGCTGGGTTGCCCTACTTGATTAGATCGTGAGATATTGCAGTTGAGTTTTTAGAGTGAAAATTTAATTCTCAGATCATATTGTATCCTTGATAAGTCTTTTTTCCCCGATTTACTTTTTTTTCAAAAGACTTGCCATGTGTACACAGCCTCTACATTTTTGTTTAAAAAGTTAACAGTGACTTAGAGTGTGATGATATTTTGATGCAAACTGACCATCAGTAACAGAAAACTCAAGAGTGCATGCTTTGCCATTGGTGGATTGTCAGTATAGTTTTTCTGTAGAATGGATAGCATGTTCAAGAGGTGCCGTGAACAAGAACTTCTACGGGTTTCGTAGTGTGTCTTGTAGAGGAGATTACAGGACTTGCGTTAATTGTAGGACCCTCTATCTTGACATGGCTTCATACCCAGTTACAGCCTTCCTGGAAGAGAATCCATTTTTCACAGAGTGATTCCCTTCATGAGGACAGGGTACAAAAGACGTTTGAGAAGAGCTCTACAGATTAGGTAGTTCTTTGTGTGTCCTGTCCTTTTTCCTCCATGACAGATGAAGGAAACTAATTGTGTATCTACTTTGACTTTTCTGTAATCTCTGATATTTTTTAAATTGCATGATTTTATTAACCTTTATTCTTCAGGGGAAAATTATTACTTTTTTAGATATTTTTGTAGATTTTGAATCAAAACTCAGTCCTAATGACTTTAAATTTTTTTGTATTTATAAACTAGTTTCCTTATGATGGATTTGATTAGTTCAAAGTTGATTTTAGAAATTGTCAGGTAGCATAATGTCTTCCCATCTCCAGGGGGCTTTCTGAAGGACTGAGTCTGTAGATGAAAAAAATAATTCATGTACGAATAGTATGATTTCTCAGAGCTTATTAGAGTGCCTTGTGGAATTTTGTTCTCAATTTCATTCTTAAGGTTTATAAGCTGGGGGCCAAATAAAAATAAGGACCATCCTTTTCTTGTGTGGATGCTGAGGCTGTGACATGTCCAAGGTTACAAAGTCTGTTGGGAAGAACAGAAAACCAGGTGTCCAAATCTGGATTCATGGTTTGTCCTCTTCTTTTTTCAAAGGAACTGTTCTTCCTTTGAGACAGCCTTTTGATATTTGGGGAAATAACAGGATCTTAGATTTTTCAAATTGACATTAAGTTGTAGGAATTAAAATTTTTCTCTGACTCTGAACACCTTGCTGTGTAACTCAGCAGTGAGGACTGACATATTGGCTGAGCAGCCTTCTTACCCCTTCTATTAAAAGCATAAATGAATAGGTGGTATTTAAGTGGATTTTTCCCCCCTTTATTTAATGTTGACTCCTAATAGTTTGGGATATTAGCATCCCCCTACCTTCTCTCTGCTGTTGTCTTAGTATGATACATAAAATACATCATCTTGTGTCTATTCATGTGTATATAGCAGTAGGTCAAGTTTAGAGTACTAATGTTTGTAAATAAGGAATGATTATTAGCATATCCATTAGGATTGTTTATTCTTGCCAGTATAAACATTTTATTTAGACTGAAGTCCCTGAAGCTTGCCCTTCTTATTGCTTCCCAGTAATAGATAATGTGCTTGAATAAGTATGTGAATTCCTGATTGCAACTTCATTTCAGGGGACCATTCTTCAGTCTGTATTTCATTAGAATGATTGTTCATGGAATGATACATGGTCTGTCTTAAAGCTAGCAAAATAGTCATACTTTACACTAACTAAATGGGTCCTAAATGATGACATTGATACCTAGACATTAACATGTATATGTTTTCATATTGGCTCAAGCTGAGGTTCAGAATTGGCTAAGAGTGATTGATTACAGTAGTTAGCTACGAGTCAGAATGAAGCGAGGACACTGGTCTTCAAAGGTGGAGAAAAATATTGTCTTATCTGCTGTTAATGGTATCTCCAGTTCTTAGATTTTTGTCCTCTCAGGCAATCTTAGTCTCCAGATCTGATGAGAAGAGCTTATTACCCTGACATGCAGAATGATTATTGGTTCCTTTGTGGTACCTCTAATTTCCCTGTTCATCTCAGAATATTTTGTCCTCCCACCCAAGACAGTAAGCGGCTTTTGAAACAGCTGAGCCAGTCTTTTCCCCCAGCCTTTCTTTCCTGGTGAGGTTATCACTCTTATCTTTTGGTTAGAGAAGCATCAAGCAGTAGCAATGGTGCTGTGTCCTTTGGCCTAAATCCAGCAGATCTGATCTCCCAAGGCTTCTTTTTCACTTGGCTCAAAGGATCCATTGTCTGTTTGCGCAAAGAGGCTGGCCTGGGTCACAAAGCCCTAGCTCTTGGGGATGGCCAAGTCAAGTAATTAGTGGGGGCCCATCACTTCATGAAACTTCACATTTTAAGAATTGAGTGGGAAGGTTGTTACTCAGGTCTCTAACCTGAGGCTAAGTGGGGGCTTGAAAGTCTTGTCCAGGGTGATTAGAACCTTTAAGTCTCTACATTTCTCAGTCCATTGCTGTCTTCCCTATATTGGGTGTGTGGATCTTCCCCTCTCTTTAGATATCATTTAATGTAGCTTATGGGTTATTCTCATTCTTTACCACCCTATAGAGCTGCTATATTATTAGCTATTAAAAGGTTAGACCCATCAATGTTCCCACTTGGCAGTATTCAGCTTACTTGCTTTTCTTATACTTTACTCCCATACGTCATTTTCATCTGAGGTATGATGGTTGAAAATGACCACATGGGTATCTAGTAGTGACACCTCAGCATTTCCTGAGTTTGGGTTGAGAGATGTATAAAGACCATTGTTGTTAAATTCCGTGAGTACGGAGACTTGCCAGGACAAAATTTTCTTAAGAAGTCAGAAACACTATTAAGTGAGATGCTGAGAAGTACCTGGGTGATGCAGACTTAACAGAAGACAAAATTAGCTTAAAATGTGTTAGATGTAGAATCATATTCATTGAACTCTAGAACTTGAGGTATCTTTGCTATCAGCTAGTTTAAACCCCTCCGCATATAGATTAGGGTACAGTGAATAAGATCAAGCTTGTTAAACCCTGGTTTGATGTTAAATATCGTAAAGTGTGAGTTTATTAACATATTTGAGGTTAAAATGACTGATATTTCATAATGATACTTTAGTAGAAAAAATACTTTTAGGTTTCAGTATTCATAAGATTTATCATTAGCCAGGTGTTAAATTGTTTAAGTCATTTTAATGTTGACATTAGCCTGAGCAGACTTTACAAATGGGATATATTCCTATTTGTGTGTATGCCTACCTACCATTCAGAGAGACTGGTTTCCCCCTTTGTCTTCCCTCACATTGCTTTAATTATTCACCTATTCTTTCAACACTTAACAGATTCCTATTTTGATCTTTTGTCAGCTTAATTCACTTTGTTTCAGGCTTATTGTCATGGTGTGCAGAAGTGCTGCTTTGCCCCATATTTGAAGGTCTGGATCCAAATAGTGATTCACTAAATATAGTTGTGTTTAAATATACTAAATTTCTATTAGCTTAAACTGTTCTCAAGAATTGTTTTCTTAGACTTTGTGTTCACTAATAATAAAAGCCCTTAATAATTCATCAGTATTTTATTCTCGAAACTCAGTTTTCAAAAATTAGGAGGCAAGAATAGTTAAATTCACACCAGTCCCTTTGAAATGATGGTGTCACAATGTAGAGAGGAATGGAGTTTGTTTTGATGCCGAAAAGCCTTGTTCTTGCAGTAATTAAAGGTAAAAAGTTGGAACTAGTCAGTTGGCATATAGAGAAACCCTTTTGTACTAGTTAGGTATGAAGCTGGATTACAAAAGAAGTAATCTTTTGATCACTACATTTGGTTTTCTTGGTTGACTTAACTCAGGGCTGCAAATCCCTTTTCCTCCATTAAGCTAACTTCTCTTAATTTGGTATGCTTTTTGTCAAACTCTCACCTCTGTTGGAAGAGTAGATAGATACTCAACTACTTTGACTCCAGAACAGAATTTAGCTAAGGTTCAAAATAATTGATGGGCTTTGCCAGCACTGAGTCCCACACCATTATTCATGTTGTCATATAAATGTTTTTATTTAAACTTCTCTCCAGTGCTGGGAATAAGGCTTTAAACTACTGATTCACCTTTAAAGGAATGTTAAGAGAATTGATATAATTTATGTTTGTTTCCATCTCAAATCCTTTATAAAAGATAGGATTTAGCTTATTGTTTTGGGTTAAGCACCCCATTTATCTGATAACCAACAGGCTTAACCATTGGCATATAGTCTTTTACTCAGAAGTAAACAGAAAAGGTTTGATGTATCTGTATCATTACTCATCTCGTGCACTTTACTTTTTCGGGGAGAACCATAATCTGAGACTTGACTTAAACCAATAACCTTAATTTATGTAATGACTTTTAAAAGTTTGGTTTGGTTACCTGGATACATAGTGTGTTTGCAGAGAGGGATGCTAGAATAAATAAGTCAAGACAAAGCACAGTGGTCTCAGATTCTTGTTAGTGTAGGAGCAGTGCTTTGCTCTCCTCAGAGAAGCACTGTATTATAATTGTTGCCTAGGATAATGGAGCCCCCCACCCCAGTTCAAGACAGTTTACAGTAAGTGAACTCTGTCATTGAGGGAAATACATTTTCCAGTGATTTCGGCAACAGCACAAGTTGACAGTAGGTAACCACACCTTTGTTGGAGACTTATATTGGAAATTCACCTTGTACCCTAGTGCTGCTGGATAAAGGAGTGTTTACTTTTTTTATTGCCTCTGGACAAACTACTCTGGATAATTTTCCAATATATCAGTGTAGCCTATACCTCTATAAGTGGAATGTTCCTTAATAACTCACTTTTTTGTTACACTAGTTGGAAACTGAAATTAAGCTCATTGCTATCTATATTATTGAAACCCCCAACTGGCAAAGGCCATTCTGTAGGGTATATTCCATAATATAATCATCTTCTGAAATTTATGTTTTGATTAGTGCCTTCTGGCTGCCAATACTGAATCTGCTAGTTCACACCTTTCCCTTTCTTGATAGATAACTCTTATTTGTTACAGTTCCTCTTTTTAAATATCGTTATATCTAGTGAAGAAAATACATTTATATTTACATACTTTATATGCAGCCTCTGTTTAAGTTCAAGGAACCAGGTAAGTCTGGTTTGTGTTGCAGCTTAAATGTTATTTATTCATCTGAATTTGTTTCTTTTATATCCTTAATTAAAAATTTAAGGTTACTTATTCTGTGAGTATATTTTAACTTTATCATTTTCCAGTGTAGGTTGGATAGGCATATCTGAGAACATATATGTGACAACCGTTTCACATTCCATGATAAGGAAAAAGCTGAAAGTAAGTGTCCATAGAAAGCACAAAACCATGTTCCCTCATATTTGTAACTCCACATGTAGAAAGCACAAGACTAACAGTATTCTCATTGTCCCACAAGTGCCAGGCATAAAAAGCCCACCATGGGTTTGTCTCGAGTTGTCAGAATGAGGACCGCAGTACTGAAAGCCCTAGACAGTGAGGTACCTAAGATAGGGGTCCTAAATCATAAGGGATTCAGTGTTCTAATCTGAGTACGTTTGTACTGCTTTGGTGGAGGAGAGAATACCAGTGTCAAGAATTCTGCAATTGTATTGGGGGGTTACTAGCTAAAATGGGGTCTGTGGGCTCTTTCCTACAATCTGGAACTTGAGAAACAGGGACAGACTTCTAGGTTTTTGGTGGGTGGAACATTTTGACAAACTTCTGCTTTAAGCTGTAGAGCCATTGGATTTTTTTTTTTTTAAATCATACATCTTTAGGAAATTTTACCTCCCGTCAATAGTACCTTGAAAACATGGAGAAATCTCACATTTTAATAGGGCAAATACTAATCTTTAATCTTTGCGTAAATTTAATCTAAACTTAATGAAGTTATTTTTTCATATGCTTCACTGCACTTCATTTTAATAGAGCAGAATTTGATCCAAGTGTTACGAGCATCAAACTAACAGACAGATCTGCCAAATGAAGTGCTTTGCTTTTCACAATGGTTGTAAGAGTCTAAAGGATTCTTTTGCCTGTCTCATTACCCGCTTCAAGACTAGATTAGATGAAATCTGTGAATATGCATGCAAAAGAAGAAAATAATGTGTTTTCTTGAACTCGACATTATCCTTATTTTACTCCTCACTTTCTACACCTGAATAGTCCCTGTTTGTAAACAATGAATAAATACATTTGTGTCTTGGATTTTGCCTGTATGTCAAAAGATGGAAGGACTCTCAGGATGGAGAGAAGTGACTAGCTTTGTTCCCACTCTCCTCTATTTTGTATGTTTATCTTCTTAGGGATAATCATCTTTAATAATATATGGAATGAAGATTAAAGCTGGTATAGACTAATGGAACATGTTTTAGAAGAATTAACCTGAGCACTTTGAGGGAGAGACTTACGCCCTCTAGCCAAAAGTCGCCAGGTTATGGACCTGCAGCATTTTTTAAGAATGTAAAACCTCAGGCTTCGGTGGGGTTACTGGAGAGGAGTACCAGAAATGCAGGAGAAAGGAGAGGTTTGAGGAACATCTTTGGCTTAGCAATATGTGATAAGGCAAAGCAGTAATAACCTGTTAGTCCTGTGTAGAATGTGTTCTGTACCTTTAAATTTTGTTTTTAAATTTAAAATAGTTTTTAAGAACTTAAAGGATGCTTTTGAAGATTCCTTTGGCAGAATATCTTTCATCTGTAATTCCATGGAAAATTGCTTTAATTAGTCTAGGTGAGAGTAGTCCTAGCGGTGTAAATATGTATAAATAGAATTTTCTAATTTCACTGTGAGATCTCTAACTTTTGAGTGGCAAACAGATCAACAGGTCTTTTGCTCATGGACTTTTCTGTGGGGTTGTTAAAATGCAAAAGCTTTATTTTTTAAATAATGACGTATTACATTAGTGTCAGATGATGGTATGGAATCTGTTGCCCTGCTTTCCCCCACCAATAATGCTTCAGTTTATAGATTGCCAACAGAGTTCCAAAATAAAGCGAGGATTTACCCATTCTTTGCTTGGACATCCCATTTTCTGTTGCCTGGACCTATGTTGGCAATCACATATGAACTATGTTATGCTTCTCAGTGCTTCTTCTTCTCCTTTTTTTTTTTGATAAGGTGGATATCAAAAATAGTTGCTGTGCAAAAGTTAGTAGTCTTCTTCAAGAAGAAAACCAATTCCTTTTCTAATATCCTGTGAAATTGCTTCATTCATTCCTTTATTTTTAAGCCAAATGTCAGCAGAGTACTGCTGCTTTTATCTAGTAATTTTGATATGTAAGTATTAATGCATTTTTAAAAGATGTCTACATTGAAAAATGTTTTTCCCAGTGTCCTGCCTCTTAAGCTTTGTTCAGATGTTCTGTGAGAGACCAGTCTGTGCACTGGGGTTGTGTATTGTATACATGGATTGTTTTGTCAGTTATGCATTGTAGACCAAATGTGATTTTAAATGAAGTTGTTGGGTTATTGGTGAGTTTTTTGAATTGTAAACTGATTTCCAGGGTACCTTCATTGTCCACAGCATTTTCTTTTTTTTTAAGGCTTGACTGATCAGGTCCATCTCACTGTACAATGTTTTAGTTGCAAGCAGAAAGTAGAATTTGATATAAACCAGGTTACTTCCATATTGAAAGGAATACAATTAAAATTGTAGATTTAGGATTGTTAACCATACATGACAATTCTAACTTTGACTTATTCTAACCTATTGTATACAATCTTATTTTTTAAATTGTAGACATGTATGATCTTGGTTTAATGTGTTTTTAAAAGTGTTAACTGTTTAAAAATGAAAAAAATGAAGCAAATCTGCTAAAGAGCTGTCAGTTTTCATTACTGACTCTGTAAAATACACTGTTCTTTGTGTACTATGTGTTATTTTGCCAGCTGCTGCATTAGCCTTTAAAAGTATTTGGAAACTTAAGATGAACTACATTTCTTGCAAAGTATATTCCTTTCTGTGGTATTTTGTCCTGTAACTGAAGTATAGTAATTATTTTATGGAAATGTTAGCACTTCTGTACCAACTTTGAATAAAATGAAAAATTTACACTTCTGTGACTAAGTATTTTCAATATGAACACATGTCTACCCTCAAAAGGTTGTATCTCAGTTCCTTTTCTCTTGGCTCATGAAGAGTTCCGGTGGGTTTCCCCCACCAATTATTGCCATTCTTTACCTTGGAAAACATGGACTTGCAAATACTGACTGAGAATTGAGTTGCATATAAAACATTGAATAAATAAAAATATTCTTGGTTTTTTCATTTCTAATTTTGAGATAATTCCAAATTATAGGAAAGTTGCAAGAATAGGTTGAAGAACCCAGGAATCATTTTCATCCAGATTCACAGAGGTTAACATTTTGCCACAGTTGCTTTGTCATTCTCTCATCAGACACTTTCCTGAACGGTTTGAAAACAAGTCACAGGCATCATTCCCCTTTACCTTCTAAGTACTTAGGGATATATTTCTTAAGACAAGGATAATCACAATATAATCAAAATCTGGAAAGTAACTGGTACGATATTTTAATCTAAAGTCTTTATTCAAATGTTGCTGTTTCAATAATGTTCTTTTATAGCAACTTTTTTTTTTAAGTTTGGAAACCAGTTCATTGCATTTAGCTCTTATGTCTATCTCCTTTAGTCTGAAATAGTTCCTCAGCTGTTCTTTTTGTCTTTTGTGGTATTGATATTTTTGAAGTGTAGAGGCCAGTCATTTTGTGAATGCCACCCCTATTTAGGGTTGTTTCCTCGTGATTTGATTCACACTATGCATTTTTGGCAGGACTACAACGTAAGCAATAATATGTCCTCAAAGCCTCACACTGAGAGGCATGTGTTGTGTTGTCTCATTATTATTGACATTAACTTTTGATACTTGATTGGGGTGGTACCTACCAGGTCTCTCCACTGTCTAGTTAATGTTTTCCCCTTTGGTAGTAAGTAAATTGTGGGGAGATAATTAGAGTTTATGTAAATAACTTATTCCTCATCAAACTTGAATCCCTAGTTTTAGCATCCATTGATAATTCTTTTTTTTTTAAATAAATTTATTTATTTTTGGCTGTGTTGGGTCTTCGTTGCTGTGCGCGGGCTTTCTCTAGTTGTGGTGAGCAGGGGCTACTCTTCGTTGAGGTGCTCAGGCTTCTCATTGCGGTGGCTTCTCGTTGTGGAGCACGGGCTCTAGGCGCGTGGGCTTCAGTAGTTGTGGCTTGTGGGCTCTAGAGCACAGGCTCAGTAGTTGTGGCACATGGGCTTAGTTGCTCTGTGGCATGTGGGATCTTCCCAGACCAGGGCTCGAACCTGTGTCCCCTGCATTGGCAGGAGGATTCTTAACCACTGTGCCACCAGGGAAGCCCCATTGATAATTCTTGCCTGAGTAAGTTATTACTGTGGTGGTGTGAAACAGTGATTTTTCTAACTTTTTTTTTTTTACTATACTGAAATCAAGAGTTTCCCCTTTTCCCCATTTATTTATCAGTTTGAACTCATGTATTATTTAGTGGGTTATAATTCATTACTATCATTATTTTGCTCAGATGTTTCCAGATTTAGCTAGCAGGTCTTCCTTCAGGCTAGTTTGTGTCCTGTGGCACGTTCCATCGTTTTTTGAGTACTTCCTTATTTTCCAGCACAACAAAGTGTTACAGGCTCATCTTGTACTTTCCCTGACCCATTCAGGATCAGGCATTTAGTAGGGTATGGTATTTAGAAACTAAGGTCTGGGTGTGCTCATTCTTACAGAGGTAAACATGGTCAGTGTACAGAACTAGGAAGTTCGCGTACACATCTCCTGATGCCTCCAGTTGTAAACCAGCACCAGAGGTTTCTTTTTAGCCTCCCCTTTCTATGTTTGTATCTCCCTTCTCCAACAGCAAGAAATCTGATAATACTTACACATTTACTTATTTTTTTTCAATTTTACAGTGCCTTAGAATGAAAGTTTTTGCATGTCTAAAAGTGTTTTTATTCTACTCATTTGTCTGAAAGTTTGGCTGAATATAGAATTCTGGATTGGGAAGTAGTTTCCTTCAGAAATGTGTAAACATAAGGCCATTCTTTTCTAGTTTCTAATCCCTGTGTTTTAAAATTTCATGATCATGTGCCTTGAAGAAAGCTTTTCTTTCACTTGTACTGGCCCTCAGTGGCCTCTTTCAATTTGTCAACCCCGTGTCCTTCAGTTTGGGGGTAATTTTTCTCCTCTTTTGGAACTTTTGTTCTTGTCTTGGATCTTCTGGACTGGTCCACTTGGTTTCATACAGTCTTTTAATTTTCACCTTTGTCTTTTTGGTCTTTCTAGAGGTGTATCTAAACTTTATCTTCCAACCCTTATGTTAAAAAAGAATTTCTTTTAAATTTCTGTCAGGTTTTTAATTTTTAAGAGATCCTTTGTTCCCCAAATCTTTCTTTTTTATAGCCTTGTTCTTTTTTCATGTATGCTGTATTTTCTCATCTTTGAAGATGCTTAAGTTTTCTCCTTCTGCATTGTTTCCTCCAGTTTTTATTTTGTTTGTGTTGGTCTCACATGTTAAAGGCTTTTCACAAATGTGTTCTGATCTTTGGTGGTTTGCTTATGTTTAACGGGGTGGACTAAAAAATGCTCTGAGTGTGTGGGTGGAGTTTGTCGGCCTCATTGTTGGGCCTTCAGGGCCTGGCTGTTGGTTGAATGACTACTGCAGTCTCTTTAGAACAGGTCAGATTCCCCACAGAAAGTTCTTTGAATGATAAAAGGCCTTGGGCCATCATTCTGGAAGCCAGTCGGGAGGAAGAGCACAGGGGTCTTCAGCATGCAGTGTGCCTTTTTTTCTTAATTCCTTTTTGGTATAATATCTCCTCTTACAGCTGTGCCTGTGTCCTGCAGTCCATGTACTTCTCTGTTTTACCCACTCCAGAGAATCAACCTCCAAACATGCATCTAGAGGTCCAACCAACTTTCATAAACTTTCAACCAACTTTATTTTAGTCCCCCACTCACCCCTATTTTCCGAGGTGTACTCAGTGTTGCCAATTCCCAGATCTTTTGGGGAATTCTACAGTGTAAATATGGTTGACTCTTGGTTTTCCCCATTGCTGCTTTTCTCCATCTGCTTTTTTTCTAAAATTGAATTGCTGTTTTCCCCTCCTTTCTCCCTCATTCTTGCAAAGTTGTACGTTAAAAAAACAAACAAAAAAACCACTCCTTTACAGTAGTTCTAGTAGGTTTTCAGGAGGGAGCATAACATGCTTATGTTGAATACTCCAACTTACTGGGAAATCCTGGTATCCACTCTTCACTTAGCATTTGAAGCTTAAAATTTCAGAGCCTGTTGCCAGTTTCTGCCTTATCCTAAAAGAACATGTTGTCAACCAGAAGCACAGTGGGAGTTTAAAAATTCTGCTTATCTTAGGAGTTATATGTGACCTCCAAGTTTGAATGCAGTACTCCAGGGTAGATGCTGCTGATTTTAGACTGGAGGGAGAAATAAACACAACAAAATGGGGGCTATCGTTACTTTGGGTTTTACTCTCCTTCCAATTCTAATTTGAAATTTTATTGTCATGCCCTATGGCAGATTCTCTGTAAAATATTATTGTCTCTACATAAGGCTTGCTGACTCAGTTACCAGATTTCATAGGTTTTTGGAGGCTGAGTTTTGTTGTAATATTCTCTGGTACACTCTAGGAGTTGAATGTCCATTGGTTTTATTAGTAGTCCCAAGAATCTTCAGAAGTTTGGAGGCACCTTTACGTGTCTCTCACTATGTTTTTTTTTTTTGTTGTTTGTTTTTTTTTTTTTTGCGGTACGCGGGCCTCTCACTGTTGTGGCCTCTCCCGTTGCGGAGCACAGGCTCCGGACGCGCAGGCTCAGCGGCCATGGCTCACGGGCCTAGCCGCTCCGCGGCATGTGGGATCTTCCCGGACCGTGGCACGAACCCGCGTCCCCTGCATCGGCAGGCGGACTCTCAACCACTGCGCCACCAGGGAAGCCCCTTTTTTAAAATTAATTTATTTTTGGCTGTATTGGGTCTTCGTTGCTGCGCACGGGCTTTTCTGTAGTTGCTTCGAGCGGGGGCTACTCTTCGTTGCGGTGCGTGGGCTTCTCATTGCGATGGCTTCTCTTGTTAAAGAGCACGGGCTCTGGGTGCGTGGGCTTCAGCAGCTGTGGCTCATGGGCTCTAGAGCGCAGGCTCAGTAGTTGTGACGTACGGGCTTAGTTGTTCCGCGGCACGTGGGATCTTCCCGGACCAGGGTTCGAACCCGGGTCCTCTGCATTGGCAGTTGGATTCTTAACCACTGTGCCACCAGGGAATTCCCGCCCACTATGTCTTTATTTCCACCTTCCACCTGTTTGTTCCTAGTTCCTTGACCATATACATCTCTGTTTTTGACTAACAGGATATGCTTAACTTTATTATGTATCTCTGCCTTTATATATATATATATACACATTATATATATGCATTTTATATATATATATATGCTGTTTTTGTTTTTGCAATGAAGATCTTATTTCTCCTTGAATTTTATTTCATTTTTTGGTTTAATCCTTTCTTCCTTTCTAGTTGAATTAAGTACAGTTAGTAACTTCCATCCCTCATCTGTCTTTCCATTTATTCTTTGATGTACGTATTCATCAAACATTTATCGAATGCATCCTGTGTGCCAGGTTCTTTGCATCTCCAGCATCTAGAAAGATGAATAGGAAGCAACCTTGAAGAGGCTTTGTTAGGGAAGGACATGTACTTCTAAATAATTACACTTGCAAGATAGGATTAGGGGAGGAAAGGCACACTTTTCCTAGGAAGTAGCTGAATCTCGAAGGATGTTTTGATCCCTTCAGTTCCTCTGTGCTTTTATGCCCTTTCTCCTCCCTGCTCTTTGGAGCAGTGTAGTCCCTTAAGTACCTTCCTCCCACCACTTGAGTTAATACACACCACTGCAGTGGCTTAGTTGGTGATGACACTTTTGGTGTGTTGTTCAGCAAGGTATGCAAATCTGACTGTCTTGCCAAAGCCCAAGGTTCTGATTATTTCGAGGCATATTTTAAAAAAATTTCTCCTAACCCA